GAATTGGCAACTCCTCTCGGAATGTACCCATGAAGCAGTTCATAAGGAGATTTTTCGGTAGTGGAATTCATCGTAGAATTCAGTCCCCACCGAACCTTAGAGACCATCTCGTCCCATCGTTCCTCGTCCTCCGTAGACGCTGCAAGACAAGACAAGATAGTTCGGTTGTAACGCTCTACTTGACCATTTGCTCTAGGCGTGGCTGTTGCGTTCAGAACATGTTTGATATTCAGGTTTTTACAGTATTCTGCGAATAGCTTGCTCGTATAACAGGATCCCCTGTCTGATATAATTCTCCTGGGCACTCCATAGTTTTCTATAATGCTATCCAGAAAGTTTATTACAGGACGAGTTTTGGTTGAAGCCACTGCTTTCATAAATACAAATTTTGTAAATGCTTCCACCACTACGATTAGGTAACAATTTTTCCGTTTTGATTTTATGAATGGACCTAAATGATCGATATGTATCGTGTCAAATGGTTCACTTATCTTTTCTATAGGATGCAATGCTCCAGCTTGCCTTCCACCTGGCTGTTTGTTATATAAACATGGCAAACAACAAGATATAAATTTTTTTGTATACCTTCGCATTCCTGGAAACCAGTAAAGATTTGACATGGCTGATAGAGTTTTGTCTTGGGAAAGGTGACCATTCCCATCGTGAAAGTGTAGCAATATTTGTCGTCTTGCTGATTTTGGAACTAACCATTTGAGGCCTGCGGGTAAAATTTTGTAAAGTCGATTGTTTTTTAGACAATAATTCTTTTTAATTTCTTCATCTTCTTTATCCTGCTTTGGTCTTTTCAACGTTTCGATGATAAATCTGCATCTTTCATCAGCCATTTGTGCATTTAAAATCCAATCCTCCTCATGTATGTTTACAATATTTACACTTATAGCAGGATTCCTGCTTAATGCATCCGCATGAGCCATTTTGTGGCCTGGTCTATACTCAACATTGAAAGTATACTCTTGTATACTTAGCCACCATCTTCCTATTCTAGGGACAATGTCTTTTTTATTAAGAGTTGTTCTAATTGCATTGCAGTCTGTCACAACTGTAAATTCAATGGTAATCAGATAAACTCTAAAATGTTTCATTGAATCTACTACTGCCATGGTTTCTAGTTCATACGAATGGTACATTTGCTCCTGTTTTGATGTTTGTCTGGAATAATATAGTACGGGTTTCAAGTTATTGTCAGGTTGCAATTGGCTTTTCCGTATCTTAGATTCCCTAAAACTTTATTGACAGCTCTCTGAAAAACTGCAGGAGCATTACACAATCCAAACGGCATCCTAAGATATTCGAAATGACCATCTGGTGTACTAAATGCTGTTTGCGGAATTGCTGATTCTTTCATAGGAATTTGATGATAACCACTAGCTAAATCCAATTTTGTAAAATATTTGCAGTTTTTAAGTTTTTCTAGGAATTCGTCTACGCGAGGCAATGGATATTTATCTTTGACAGTTTTAGAATTTAGTTTTCGGTAATCAACGCACATGCGCATTTCACCATTTTTCTTTTTAACCAACAGGATGGGGCTGGAATATGGTGAATCCGATTCTCTAACAATTTCATTTTTTAATAAGTCGTCAACAATATTCCTTACAACTTTGCGTTCATTGTAAGATAATCTATATGGTCGATAAACAACCGGACTATTGTCCATGAGATGTATTGACATTTTGGCTACATCGGTTTTACCTAATTCCATAGTACTTTGTGCAAAACAATCCCTAAAAACATTTACTAGGTCTACAACATTTTTTACATTCGCTTTGAGTCAAATTGGGGTTTATTGATAAATCGTTTTCAGTAAATAATTTAACAGTTTGTGCATGCGTTGAAAAAACATGATACTTTTGAACAAATTTGTCCTCAAAACAATAAACACAACGAGCTAATACTTTCTTGGGACTTACCTCAATTTCGTTTTGAGAAAGGTTTACAAGGGTGACATAACCATCTTCCCCTTTAGTGATGCACTCGTCAATGTAGTGCTCGTTTCCAGGCACCGGTCGTGGTCCACCACGAATGTACACATCATCGTAGATGGCACCTCGAGTTGTGATGGCAACCATAGCCGATGTCCTTGGTGGTATGCCTGTGGTGGTCTTTGCCCACAGTGATACTTTTTTCTCTGGCAACTTCAATAAGTCGCTTAAATTATCATCAGCGGACAATATCCTTACTTTTTCACCAGAGACTATCGTAAGAACTTCTGGCTTATTAAGGAAGGTCTGTCCAATCATCACCGGAACTTCCTGAGCATCATCTGGAACGATCAAGGCTCTAACTTTACTTTCGATCAGATCGATTTTGATCGATACTTCTGCTTCTCCTAAAGCATTGATTTCTGAGCCGCCATACCCACATATACTCAAATTGTTGCAGGGAGTATACTCTAGGTTTAATGCTTCAGAGTCAGCTTTTCTTATTAGAACTGCTCCACACCCTGAATCTACATAAGATTTGGAAGGTTTTCCATTTACGAAACAGTCAAAGAAATAATTTTTGTTGAAATTAATTTGACCTTCTGGTTCAATAACTTGGTTTCGAACTTTTCTTCGGCAATCTTTTGCCAAATGACCCAAGCGCTTACAGATATGACATTCGATTCTGGGCTTCGTACATTTATTAGAAAAATGGCCCTTATCCTTGCAATTGTAACAGCGAGGCGTATTTATTTGGCTGTCCTGGTCATTCTTCAACTTCTTCTGCTCATTGTTTCCATACTTCGGATTTTCCCAAGGTCGTTTATTGCCACGACGATGGTTTGGATAGGTGAATCGGTTAGAAGTTGACGGTTGCAATGTAGAATTTGAACCCTCAGACCTTAAGGTCGATATATATTCAGCATATAATTCATCCGGTGTATTATATCTACCAGCTCTTGCTCCTGCTTGGATTGTTGGATCAGTGATACCATCGATCAAACAAGAAACTGCTTTTTTGTCGGTGATGTCACATGCGTTTATTAAATCCAGCTTATTGAAATAATATTGTTCCCATGTTTCAGTCGGTAATTTAACCCTATTCACCAAGCTTCGAAGTCGCGATGCAAAATCGCGATGCTCTGGAAAGGTTTTAAGTACAAGAGCTTTCCATTCTTCCCAGGTTTTTTGGTAAGATGACAAATTGTCATAACCATTTTCGTGCCAATCCAGTAAGGCGGCTTTGCATGTTGAAGACCATTGTTTGTTCGTCCCACTGGTGTACTATAGCGAATTGTTCAATCTTTTGAATCCATTTGAGACAACTCAGATTTGGATTTCCTGGAGCAAATTCTGGAATATAATCTGCGTTCAATGTAGCTCTTACAGGCTGTGGTAAATGAGTTGAAGCAGTAGGCCTTTCTTCGACGAGGCGCTCTACTAGCTTTTCGAGCCTCTCGATTCTAGATTCCGATGAAGTTGTAGTTCCAGATCCCGTAAAACTACTTGTTGGTTCATTACGAACTTCAACTTCAAGCATTCTGGGTCTTGGGGGTGTCCGTGATGTGATATCTGTTCTACTTTTGCGTTTCGATTTCTTTGATCGCTTTTTATTCCTTTTATAATTATAATCCGAAGCTGAGCTTGAGCTTGAACTCGTTGAACTGGATCTCGAAGATCCCATTTTTTTTTTTTACTTTATTATAAGAAATATAGAAGCAAAATAAACTGAAACCAAAACGTTCGTGCGAAATCTCTCAATTTTGTTTTTAGGGAAATAAAAGAAGTGCAAAATACCCTATTGATTATCGTTGGATGGCGAACAGGTATAATTTGGGTTTTTACCCTTCGTAACACAAGTACCTAAACCGATGGTTGAAAGCAACCCTTCGCGTCACAGCACGGTTCGATCGAAGAAAGCGAACCCAAGAATAATGTCTAGGTAAATGTTAATTTTCGTAAGCTTTTGAAATAAAAAGTCAGTACAAAAGAAAACTGATTGTCACTAATTCTTGGTAAATGGCACTTATATATATTTACAGTATTTACAGTATTTTATTGAGTCTTACAGTTGATGTTTGAACTTCATTAATCCATGAATCATCAAATCACAATATTTATCACATCCAAAAACTGTCGCTCACTTATTCACTAGCACATAGGTTTATCCCGCCGCTGCTCTATAATAAATACGCGTAGAGCAAATAGAACTACGGAATTTAGACAAATCGAAAAGCAAATATATTCCACAGGAAAACAATAAAGAAAACGGTACTCGTTGCCGACGACCAAAATCTCGAATGCCAGCAAGCTGAAACTTGCTACCCTTCGATCCCCTGGTTCGGTGGTGCTATTAGGTGGTGGTTGGGTCCGTTTTATGATGGACGTAAACGTTCCCTTCTGACTTTTTTTCTGTAGATAACAAACTTCATCTCTAAAAAAAGAGAAAAAAAATCGAAGAATAACAGTGAAAACCGCAACCCTCTATGACAAATAATACTGAAGATATGGCTCTATGAAGCTATCGAATCTCACCCTATGACGTCACGAAAGCTCAAGCGACGCACGAGAAAGTGAAGTAAAATTGAATGTACATATGTTTTTCCTGTGTTACCTGCAATAAACTAAACAAAAACCACTCACGCGTGCCAGGAACAATCAAATTAACAATGCGGAGCACGGCTCGACGAAGCTCTCGTGACGTCACACACACTTTAAAGCGGTATATCTCAGCGATGGTTTATCGTAGAATAACGAGGTTTGAACAGTTATTCTTAGATTTTTTCACACTAAAACTTTAATTTTTGGCGCGTACCCCCTTTAAAGAAGTGAGAACACTTCGAAAGCTTGATGACAGTCTATATTACGTTATAGACTGTTTTGGCCGAGATTCCTGTGATTTCCTACTCATAAATATATCACTACGTCCGTTCAACTTCTCAACATTATATTATAATTTTTGTAATGGGAAACACACTAAATTAAAATTGCTCATGGAGTAAACTGACTATAAACTAAAATTTTCCTTATATTTTGACAAGCTTAATTTTTTTGCAGGTTTATGAGAGGTATCGAACAACAATTCCTAGCCCTTCAGAAGGGCTTCACCGAACTAATACCTCCTCCATCATTGAGACCGTTTGACGAAAGAGAATTAGAGCTGGTCATAAGCGGAATAGGATCCATAGATATAGCCGACTGGCGTTCGCACACAAGATTAAAGCATTGCACCGCCGATACGCCGGTAGTTCAATGGTTCTGGCAAGTCGTCGATTCATATTCCGAAGAGATGCGAGCTAGACTGTTGCAATTCGTCACAGGCAGTTCCAGGGTGCCGCTGCAAGGATTCAAGGCTTTGCAAGGGAGCACCGGCGCCGCGGGGCCTAGGCTTTTCACTATTCACTGTATCGACGCCCCACCGCAGAATTTACCTAAAGCGCACACCTGTTTTAATCGTATCGATATACCTCCGTATGAAACCTATCAGGTTTTGTATGAGAAATTGACGCAGGCTGTTGAGGAGACTTGCGGATTTGCGGTGGAATGATTATAGGCTTGAAAGGTAAGGTATTTTTCAATACATATTGTCTATTGAACCAACCAACACCCTATATATTTATCAAAAATTTAAATAAATACCTATACATTTGTCCTGACATAATTTCCGATAGGATTTAAATCGTACCTTAAACTGTTAGAGCAACTTCTGAAATTTTGAATGGATGAAGGTTGGTCGAGTTGTAATTATAGTTACTTAACACTTTATTGAGTATTTACGATTTTATAAATTTGAATGATGACCTATCAAAGATAATTGTACAGAGTGTTTCCTTATATTTTGACCCCTACCTACAGCTTTAGCTATATGAGGTGGAAAAAAACTTTAAATATGAAAGTTGTAGGGTTTTATGTCTATTATCTTTTGCAAATGACAAAACGGGCAAATGACATGTGCCAACTGTCACAATGACAAACACTTGCCTTTTTCAAATGGAACACCCTGTATATTTTTGGCTAGAATGATAGCTTTTTTTCTTCTGATTCCAAATATATCATATATGTTTATATTTGGTTCAGTTCTTTTTGCGCTATTCAATTTTAAAATTGTATTGATCAAGCCTCATCACTGATATAAGAAACAAGAAGCCAGTACAGATTAAATTAAGGGTAATGTAAATGCATTTTTAAACTTGTATAGCGTAAAAACAGCTGAACCAAATATCAACATATATGGTATTTGGAATCAGAAAATAGTATATTGTACGCTATTTTTTCTTCAAACGAATGGGGTAAGCTCGGGTGTAACTGAATGGTTGAGCGGCAGTAAAAGTACAAGCGGCACTAAAAGTACTTTTGTTGCCGCTCCAGCGGCACTAAAAGTACTTCTACTGCCGCTGCGGTTGCCTAGCAGCATAGAAGTTCAATTTCTACTACCTCGACAGGTGTTAACCGGCTGGATTTGCCTAGCAGCATAGAAATTCAATTTCTGACATCTTGACGGGCGTTAACAAAGTGACGTTTTTTTGACGTTTGGAGAAAAAAAAAAATTATCATTCTAGCTAAAAATATACAGGGTGTTCCATTTGAAAAATGCAAGTGGTTTGTCATTAGGACACTTGCCACATGTCATTTGCCCATTTTGACATTCGCAAAACATAATAGACATAAAACCCTACAATTTTCAAATTTATAGTTATTTATGTATCAAGGGTACTAAGTAGATGATTATGCCCCGAGGGCGACAGTCTTACAAAGCCGAGGGCCTCTGGCCCGAGGGTTCGTAAGTTGCCCGAGGGTATATATCTATTAGTACCCGTGGTGCATACAAACTTTTTGTCATGCCTGCGCGGGCCATAATGTGTACTTTATGCCCGCGCGGGCCATAATGTGTACTTTATGCCCGCACGGGCATAAAGTAATGAATTATATAGATGGTATCTAAGGTATAAAAACACAATAATGTACTGGTATGACATAAAAGTTTTTTTCCACCTCGTTTAGCTAAATTTGTAGGTAGGAGAAAAATATATAGAAATACCCTGTACGCTCCAGGAGACTATGGTTCTCTGGATGGTAATTCTCTGCTTGATCCTGATGGTTTAGGATAGAAGAGCAGAAGGGCGTTAGTACGAGACAAGACTTAAAGTCACGGCACTTGCACTAGGGCGTAAGGCAGGTAACTTACAACCAGACTAAAGCCCTTGTTGTAAGTTGGAAAGAAGACCCCAGCCAGGCAAAGCACTTGCTATAAGGGTTAAAAAAAAAACCTGTAATCAGACAGAGCACGTACTACAGATTTAAGGAAAGGCCGAAGACAGAGCACCTGCTGCAGTAAGGCTAAATCAAAAGTAATTGTTAGAGCGCAGTCTCACGACTCTACTAGCGTTGCTAGGCCAATGGTGACTTGGCACAATTTAAGTAAGAGAAACAACAATTAGTTTGAATCTGACTTTATTGATGAAATTGATCGCCTTTTATATACAATAAATGCTGATTTTGCAAATACCAATGATCGTCATTTGCAATAAAAGAAAGTAGGCTGCTTATAATTAATTAATTCTAATATGTACAGGGTGCTGCAATTTGGAGTGTTTTAACAGGAAAAAACACACTTCCAGACCAGATAGACGAAAATTGACTTAGATGTCATGGGATTGATTTTCGAGAAACGTCGAATGTCAAAAACCGCATCGCGATATCTTCAATGGTACCATTAATACAGGGCGATTTTCGATTTTCCCCTATTATGAAAAATGGCTATAAGTTTTTTGAGCACAATCCAGTGGCGGACTCAGTTTTTTTCTATATTGTTCCGATTTCGAAATATCGACCAAACTCCAATATTTTCAAATGAAACACTTTATATATTAATAGCTCATTGTATAGCTCTGTTTTTACTGATTTCAATGATATAAACTTCGATAGGTTTATCTCTAACAGTTTTCGAGAAAAAAAATTATATGTTTCAGTCATAAGAAACAATGTGTTAGAAAGAGACCTTCCTCTTTTTCCTTACACATATAAAATCCTTCTTTAACACATTGGTCCTTACGACAAAAACAGATATAATTTTTTTTCTCGAGAACTGTTAGAGATAAACCTATCGAACTTTATATCATTGAAATCAGCAAAAACAGAGCTATCCAATGAGCTATTAATATTTAGGGTGTTTCATTTGAAAATATCGGAATTTGGTCGGTATCTCGAAATTGGAACGATATAGATAAAAACTGAGTCCGCCACTGGATTGTGCTCAAAAAAGTGTCTCCATAATGTTTTTACAGAATTAAAAAACAATTAATAAATAAAAAACTTATAGCCATTTTTCATAATAGGGAAAAATCGAAAAACACCCTGTATCAATGGTACCATTGAAGATATCGTGATACGGTTTTTGACAATTGACGTTTCACAAAAATCGATCCCATGCCGTTTAAGTCAATTTTCCTCTATCTGGTCTGGAAGTGTGTTTTTCCTATTGAAACACTCCAAATTGCAGCACCCTGTACAGTCTGGTAAAAATATATAAAATAAATTTGGATTAATGGACATAATAATAACGACTTTAAACTTGGTTGTTGTTCATGAGAAACTTATATTTACGCTGTTTCATTTCAAAATTAATAAACAATTTATAATTCCAAGAGACATTTTTAAAAAAGTTTTCGTTTTCAGATGATGCCTGCTCGATTCTCCGAGCTACCAATCATCTTTTTACCAGAGCACAACTAAAGCATCGCGAGCCAAAAAAAAATATTAGATTGAAATGCATCAAAAGCTTTGAAGACTGTCGAGTGCCTTTTTTCGCTCACCGCCCCCCTCACAAAAACTTTCAAGTGCCTACAAGCTAGTCAAAACGTGTAGACGGATTCTATATCACTATCACAACCAGGCATGTATGCTTCCTTTTTTAGGTGAGACTTATTTTTTTATATTTGTATTGTTTTCTATTACTATTATATACACATATAGAGAGTTATTGGATTACACTAAGGAATATTAGTTACAAAAATGCTCTGAGATTGAAAATTAACTTTTCGGTGCGCTGATACATTGGGTTTTTATTTAATTATGTATACATAGTTGTCGAAATTTTTAAAAATTAAACTTTTTGTAACATTTTAGAACTTTGAAAATAAAATCCATGTACAGGGTTATCGAACGAGGACCAGACAGGCTTCTTTTTGACTCTACCTGTACTTTTTAAATCCGAATCTACAATTTTCGGAATTGGTGGGAAAAATTATATGAGACGGCTATTTCAGATTTTTTATAAAAATACAGTTAGAGTCATAAAAGTGGTCTGTCACTAGTGACCTTTACAACTTCAAATTGAGACTTATCACAATCAAATTGAGAACAAACATTTTCAAATTGAGATTAAACAAAATCAAATTGAGAACAATCAATTTCAAATTGGTACAACATTCAATTACATGGAAACGGATGTACCAATTTGAAATTGATTGTTCTCAATTTGATTGGTTTAAGTCTCAATTTGATTCTGTTAATTTCAATTTGATTGTGATAAGTCTCAATTTGAAGTTGTAATGGTATAGTGCTCGTTGGATAACCCTGTACAAATTACAAAGAAATATTTCACATTACACTACAGTTTCTCTCCTGTTGATAATATGAAACAAATAATTTTTTCACATTAAGTGAAATAATTTTTTCACATTAAGTGTGCCTCACCAATTGATGACGTACAACAGTAGTGCATATTGTCTTGATAAATCTATCTATCTACTTCTGTGCTATGGAAAAAATACAGGTTTGTCGTTGTGTAGGGCCTAATGTTCCTAAACGCGCTTAGGAAAAATTTACAATATTTTCTACAAGAAATGCCCCATTCCATGGTGGTATTTGCATTGTTGCCAAGTTCACCGTTTCTAAGATGCCGTATGTAATTTTTTTTTTTTTAAATGAAAGTGCCTCTTGATTTTTATTGTAACTAATTCAGCCGCTCAACATTACTAAAACCCCTAAATGCCAAACCGTCATTTGACTTGGCAACAGGGTTAAGAAAAATGTTGTGTCTTAGAAGGTCTGGAATATTAACACTCCAAATACTAGAATATTCATGGGGATATGAAACCAGCAAATCTTTTTATATGTGTGATAGAAGATTATAAAACATGAACCACAAACATTTTGTGACCTTGAAAATTCTAAAATCAGCTTCATCTTATATGTACTAACATTGCTTTAGAAGAAATCAAAATTCTCAGAATCATGAATGAAGCTGATCCTCGAGATCCCAAACGAAAAAGAAAAGTTCGACTTTTAAATGATTTCCAAATTACTGGTGTTAATGGACAACATATTTGCCTGGTATTTGAAGTCATCTTCTTATAAGTGTAACAGAAGATTATAATACAAAACTCGCGTGTAAAGTAGCTGAGATGCACCGGTTCGGAATTAAATTACTCGTTTCCATTGTTGCCAACGAACCACTAGGCAAAATGAGTTTTGTTCAAGCTAAAAAAGACGCCTCGAAGACGAATATCATTTTTCAAATGGCAAGTAAAACATATTATTGACACCATCGAAGAGAAGAAAAAAGTCGCTGAATCAGTTGTAAATACTTGTAACTTTCTAATTCTCCTTCCTCATCCTCGAGCAGTGATAAAAATTCGGAATTCAATCCAGCCTGCTGACCTCGGAATCGCTTGCAAGATTGAAGGACCACTCTATCAAACCATCCAAACAAGACATCAATGAAACAGAACAGTTCGACTTTTGAATGATTTCCAAATTACTGTTGTTAATGGACAACATATTTGCCTGGTATTTGAAGTCACTGGCCATTACTATTATTACAATCTAATGAGCAAGGCCTCCCATTAGCCAATGTGCTCACAGTCATAAAACAAGTCTTAGAAGGTCTGGAATATTTATACTCCAAATGCAAAATTATCCATGGGGATGTGAAACCAGAAAATCTTCTTATATGTGATAAAAGATTATAATACACAAACCACAAACATTTTGTGGCCTTAAAAATTCTGAAATCAACTCCATCTTATACTAACATTACTTTAGAAGAAATCAAATTTCTCAGAATCGTGAATGAAGCTGATCCTCGAGACCCCAGACGAAACAGAACAGTTCGACTTTTAAATGATTTCCAAATTACTGGTGTTAATGGACAACATATTTGCCTGGTATTTGAAGTCATCTTCTTATATGTGTGAAAGAAGATGATAATACAAAATTGGCGTGTGAAGTAGCTGAGATGCACCGGTTCAGAATTAAATTACCCACTTGCATTGTTGTCAATGAACCACTAGGCAAAATAAGTTCATCAAGCTGAAAAAAGGCGTCTCGAAGACGAAAATCATTTTTTATGGCAAGTGAAACATATTAACATCATCGGAGAGAAGAATGTGATAAGAGTATACAAGATTTACAGCCAGGTGGGAGATATTGTACATTTTTCTAAAGCCTGTGCTGAAATACGAATTTCCAGACATTTCCACATAAAAGCTGTGTTGCCATATTTCAAAAAGTATGTCAAATAGAGGCCTAACATGTAGACGGTTTAGTAATGTTAGGACGCTGAATTAATTACAATAAAAAAATAAGTTACTTACGGCATCTTAGAAATGGTAAGCTTGTCAACATTGCAAACACCACCATTGCATCGGGTATTCCCAAAAACCTCCAGGTAGGAAATAGGTATTGTAAATTTTTCTTAAATGCGTTCTGAAATATTCTCTTTCCATACATAATAACAACTCTGTATACTTATCAATACCTTGGAAAGAAGTTTTTTTAGATTCTAGTTCAAATAAGTAGTGTCCTTTTTCAAACACTATGCAGGCGGTGCTCCAAATGTCTGCTGAAGTATTATACTCGGCTTCAAGTAGAAACTCCAAAGATCTGGTCTTGTTTGGATGGTTTAGCTTACTTGTCATTTGAAAAATGATATTCGCCTTCGAGCCGCCTTTTTTAGTTTGAATGAACTCACTTTGCCTAGTGGTTCGTTGGCAACAATGCAAGCGGGTAATTTTATTCCAAATCGGTACATTTCAGCTACTTCACACGCGAGTTTTGTATTATAATCTTCTTTCACACATATAAGAAGATGACTTCAAATACCAGGCAAATATGTTGTCCATTAACACCAGTAATTTGGAAATCATTTAAAAGTCGAATTGTTCTGTTTCGCTTGGGATCTCGAGGATCAGCTTCATCCACGATTCTGAGAAATTTGATTTCTTCTAAAGCAATGTTAGTAAAGGATGGAGCGGATTTCAGAATTTTTAAGGTCACAAAATGTTTGTGGTTTGTGTATTATAATCTTCTATCACATATAAGAAGATTTTCTGGTTTCACATCCCTATGGATAATTTTGCATTTGGAGTGTGAATATTTCAGACCTTCTAAGACTTGTTTTATGACTGTACGCACATTGGGTAATGGGAGTCCTTGCCCATTGGATTGTAATAATAGTAATAGCCAGTGACTTCAAATACCAGGCAAATATGTTGTCCATTAACACCAGTAATTTGGAAATCATTCAAAAGTCGAACTGTACTGTTTCATTGCTGTCTTGTATGGATGGTTTGATAGAGTGGTCCTTCAATCCTGCAAGCGATTCCGAGGTTAGCAGGCGGGATTGAATTCCGACTTTTTATCACTGCTCGAGGATGAGGAAGGAGGATTAGAAAGTTACAAGTATTCACAACTGATTCAGCGACTTTTTTTTTCTCTTCGATGGTGTCAATAATATGTTTTTTCTACAAACGTCACTAAAAGTGTCATTTTTAACGGATGCTGTCAGTGTCTAAAATGCCATTTTATGACACCGGTGTTAAAAGTGATTACTTTTAGCACTAGTGCTAAAAGTAATCACTTTTAGTGCGTTTGTAGAAAAAATAGTGTATGATATTCGTGCTAAAAGTGATTTTATTTTGTTCAAAGGGATGGAACACTCCGCCTTCGGCGTCGTGTCCTAAACTTCCCTTTTCACAAAATAAAATGTCACTTTTAGCACTTATATCATAAATAACTATTATTTGCCATTTGAAAAATGATATTTGCCTTCGAGCCGCCTTTTTCAGCTTAAATGAACTCACTTTGCCTAGTAGTTCATTGGCAACAATGGAAGCGGGTGATTTAATTCCGAATCAGTACATTTCAGCTACTTCACACGCGAGTTTTGTATTATAATCTTCTGTCACACCTATAAGAAGATGACTTCAAATACCAGGCAAATATGTTGTCCATTAACACCAGTAATTTGGAAATCATTTAAAAGTCAAACTGTTCTGTTTCGTTTTGAGGATGAGTTTCATTCACGATTCTGAAAATTTTGATTTCTTCTATAGTAATGTTAGTATAAGATGGAGCTGATTTCAGAATTTTTAAAGCCACAAAATGTTTGTGGTTTGTGTATTATAATCTTCTATCACATATGAGAAGATTTTCTGGTTTCACATCCTCATAGATAATTTTGCATTTGGAGTGTAAATATTCCAGACCCCTTCTAAGACTTGTTTTATGACTGTACGCACATTGGCTAATGGGAGGCCTTGCCCATTGGATTGTAATAATAGTAATAGCCAGTGACTTCAAATACCAGGCAAATATGTTGTCCAATAACACCAGTAATTTGGAAATCATTCAAAAGTCTAACTTCTGTTTCATTGATGGTCTTGTTTGGATGGTTTGATTGTGGTCCTTCAATCCTGCAAGCGATTCCGAGGTCAGCAGGCTGGATTGAATTCCGACTTTTGATCACTGCTCGAGGATGAGGAAGGAGAATTAGAAAGTTACCAGTATTCACAACTGATTCAGCGACTTTTTTTTTCTCTTCGATGGTGTCAATAATAAGTTTCACTTGCCATTCGAAAAATTATATTCGCCTTCGAGCCGCCTTTTTTAGCTTGAATGAACTCACTTTGCCTAGTGATTCGTTGGCAACAATTGAAGCGGGTAATTTTAGTTCGAACCGGCGCAACTCAGCTACTTTACATGCGAGTTTTGTATGAGAATTTCATACATCTGTCAAAACTGGTATTCCAACAATAAATTGACATGTTTTGATTGTTGATTTGAACCAATCAGATTGTAATTAAGCGATAATTTGCACTAGTGCAAATTATCAGATAATTGCATACTAACTGGTGCGAAAACTGGTGTTTTGACATTTTTTGACAAAAAATTTAAATTTTTGATTTATGAAATTCTCTCATTAAATACAACTCGTGCAATGGAAATATATTTATAATTTTTGACAAATTTGCACTCATGCGTTTTTAACTGAAAAAGGCACTCGTGCACTATGCATTCGGGCAAATTTCCCAAAAATTATCAATAATTTCCATCGCACTAGTTATATTACTATTGATAATTATGAAATATTAGTTTTGTTTAATCACTAAA